CCCCCCCCCCCCACACACACATCTTTAATAAAAAAATTTAAAAAACCGAACTGGAACCATGGCCACTCGTTCTTTCCTTACAATGTCGGCACCTCCCAGAGTCTTGCACCTCTCCCCACGCTCCACTTTCACACCCCACTGGACTTCCTCAAATGTCAAGTTTTGATAAACAAATTTCTGAATTGTAGCTGGGACAGCGCCGTTCTTTGGCTGGCTTTAGTTTTCTTGTTGTTTTTTTTCTTTAGTCAACATGTGGCTTCTTTTGAACACAAATACCTCAACTTTTTTTTTTTAATATTTTTTTTTTTAAATTGTTAAATCCTCGCTACTCCATCCAGAGTACTCAGTGACCCGAATGTCAATGCGGAGTACCTAGGAACATCTCATTCCTCAGAATATAACATAGGGCCTCTCCCAGGAACTGGCATTGTTTCCCTACAAACATTGACCAGAGAATAATGTCATTAAGCCATATAAGAAATAAAAACATCACAATATATATTTGTATATATTTTTCTCTGACAATTTATTGACAAGACCAGATTTTTAATGGATAAGCTGAGTTGTGTGAAATGTTTTTTTAGTCGTACAGTTGGAAGTTTTGAGTAATACTACACAAATAAGGAAGAAAATATAATTATTTATATAAACTGTGGTAGGGCCGTGTGTGGAGGGAGAATTTTTTTTTTTTTTTTAGCTCTCCCCCCCCCCCTTCCTTTCTGCTCCGCTCCGGAAGCCAACCACAAGATAAAGAGATTCAAAACTATTCGAAATTCTCGACTGTGCAGCCTTCCTGGCTGGCATCTGTGCATTTTGCCCGGCCGGCCGGCCCACAGAAGAGAGAAACACCACATTGCACTACAACGGCATGCCGACTTAGGTCGATGGTGGAGGCAGAGCCGTTTCTTAGGCATAGGCAAACCATAGGCGACCGCATACTGCCGCATAGGGCGCCAATGCCAAGGGGGCTTTTTATTTTTAGCCCACAACTTGCAAGTCCATGAATTTCAGAATTGCACATTTTCTCCAGTGGCGGCATTATCAATATGGTTAGTGGTCACACGCGAGCAAAGAGGAAGCAGTGGCGAAGGTAGAATGGAGGTGCCGCGGTGGTGGGTGATGTTTTCTCCTCAGCTCCGGGGGAAATCCCGGACCCCCCCCCCCACTTTTCCGGGGCCCCCTTCCCTCCCCCCCCCGCCACGGGCCGGCCCCCCCCCCCCCACCTCCTAAGAACGGGTCTAGCGGAGTAAATGTAAGGGTAATGTCTTGTTCGTAGGAGTAAGTTAGGAATACACCATACACAATCATACCATTGTGACACACATTATTTTACACAATCATACCATTGTGACACACATTATTTTACACAATCGTACCATCGGGACACACATTATTTTACACAATCATACCATCGTGACACAAATTGTTCCACACAATCCTACCATCGTGACACACATTATTTTACACAATCATACCATTGTGACAAACATTATTTTACACAAACTTACCATCGTGACACTCATTATTTTACACTGGACGTCACTCCCCCAAAACGCCCACCACCCGAACCGGAAACAGGAGAAAGCTTTGTTTGATTTGCAGTTTCCTCCCCTGGCAATCAGAGGACGACAGGCGCAGATAAGACTTTAGTCTGATGGGTCTTGAAATCTTGCCCGCCCTGACATCAACAGACACAGACAGGCGTGTCTCCCTTATCCAGGCGCATGTTTCCAGACACCAGGGGCCGGCACCTACGACAGGAACCCCCCTTTGTTGGTCTCACCCAACTAAAACAAACAAACAAACAAACATGCAAACGTACAAACGTTTTGTGAATACTGTTTTCAAGTTCAAGGACAAGTCAAATGTTCGTCTTTGAAATTTACAAACCAACATGTCTACAACTCCATCATAAACATCTTTTTTCATTTATTCTAATTTTTTTGTTCTTAAACAATAATAATTACGTTATGGGTGTGACTCTAAGCCTAGAAGAATTGCCTACTAGGCCTACTAGGCCTACTAAATAAGCCTCTAAGAAACAAAAAAAGCTCGCTCAGCTTATCTGACCTTCTGAATCGCTCTCACTTAGTTCAGCTCCGTGTTTATTTTAATAAACAAGTTTACACCGGCAACTTGAACTTTGACCCGTTGTTGAATTTTTTTTAAAATGTGTAATGAATATTTAAAAAAAACAAAAACATTTCAATGCTGTAAGCGGGTCTGAGTTTGAAGACTTCAAGACACTAAATAGGCGTACCAACATTGTTTGCAGTTATTTCTTGCGCCTGCTTTAATTTGAAGCGAAGCCGAGTAAAGTAAAGGTATTGGGGCGAGAATAATAAAAGTGACTGAGAACCGTCATCCCGTGAAGTTGGTGTAAAAAAAAAACAACAACAACAACAAAACAATAACGAAGGGAGCCCCGCCCCTCCCGGATTCTTCGTCTTGCTGGATCGTCTTACTCGAACCGACGCTGCCAGAGACGCCTTTCACTCACGTGACGACTTCCGTAAACAAAAACGTCTCCTTGGTTACCATGGCGATGCAGCATTGTTTCGTAATGAGGGAAAAAAACAAGCAGCGATTCTACGAACCTAATTGACGCGTTATGCTTGTGCGTTTCTGTTTTCACTGGAGAGCTCCGAGAACTGGCGTGCTCAACGTCGTAATGAATCAGTTAACCCGAGCAGGGAAATGTTTAGGGTTGCAATAATCATTTTTTTTACTCTTCTTTTAATCAAATTTGTTCAGTAAATATAAATGGGAACATCCAGGGAACATCATTTCTTTTTAAAACATGAAAAAAAAAACTTTTTTTTTTAAAATTTAAATGTTTATTTTTTTATTTTAAATGAAATCTTTGTATACATTTCCGGCTATTGTAACTGAACCGGTAAGTTTACGGTCATTTCAAAAGCAGAATTACGTCAAGTCGGTTGACCTACCGACTTCGGTGGTTAATTGTTGCTCTTTACACAAGAAAGGGTTTACCCTCTACCTCAAAAAAAAAAAAAAGAAAAAAATGCCTTACTTTAGCTATAGTGAGTCAGTTCCATCCGGCAATTTTACCCATAGCTTTACGGGGCGAATTCAAACAAGCGAACCTCTAAGTCGAGATGCAAATAACTTTAACATTGCTCCACAGAAACGGCAAACAAATTAAACCCACTTTGTAGAACAATGAACAGCAACATGCTACTGGGTGCATTGGATAAGTTGTTTTTTTTTTCTTCTTCAATGACGTATTTGATGACGATATGCATATTTTATTCTAAGACAAAGCTTTGCACATCTTAGCAGCCCGATAAACGAAAATTCAACCAACGCAAAATGTCCCACTGCTATGACCATGGCAAGAAACGACTGTTGTCGCTGATCCTGTGTTGGTTTACGTCCACGCGGGACAGATTCGCCCGTTGTGACCAGACCACGCAACCGTTCATGCTTTGGCCGAAATACTTTTGATCCTTTTGACAGTCTGTGTTTGTTCCGGTTTAAAAAAAAAAATTAAAAAAAATAAAAAGTTTTAACTTTAATTTCTGTCTCATTAATTATTTATTTTTTTAAAAAAATGTCTTTTACTTTTTCAAACAGGTGTTCTGGGTCGGTCCAGTGGCCGGGGCGTTGCTGGCCGGTCTTCTCTACGACTACATCTTCGCCGCTGGGGCTACTTTCGCCGGGGCCAAGAAATGCCTGCTCAGGACCAAAAAGCCCAGAAAGCAACCGGAACCGGAAAAGGCGCCGTTGGAGGAGGCGAAGAATGAGGTCATAGAAATTGACGAGACAAAACTTGACGGGGAGAAAGGGGAGGCTGTTGTTGAAGCTGATCCCGAGAAGGGAAAAGAAGTCGAGGAGGCCAATTAAAGGGAAATAACTGGTTAAAATAAACATAGTGTAAAGAATCCATCTTCTTTTGTTTCGATTTCAATATTTTTTTAAATACATTTTTTTTTTAAAGTTCTATATCCAATGATTTAATTTGGTGTTGTCTGTCGGGTATGTCTATTTGCTTTTTTTAAATAAAAAATGTTAATATGTTTTTTTATTAAAGGGGGGGGGGGTACCACTCATAATATTATTATAGGGTAATATAATTATTATATGTCATTTATTGAATATAATTAATTATCAACATCTCCATCAATTCGTATGGGTATCCTGCCATTAAATAATAACTATAGTCAATCGTGTATCACCTACTTTCGGACATACAATAAAACCATATTTTATATTTCCCCTGTATGATAATATTTAAGTGCACATCAAGTAATTACAAATGCTCCCAGATTTTTTCTTCTCTCGTTATGTTTTGAATGGCCTACACTTAGATGTCTTATTGTATTCACTCAATCAACTCTATATAAAATATTTGTTTTCTTACCCATGACGTATGATAGGCTTTGAGAATGTTTGGAATATTTTTCCTTGCTGCCCACCTGGGTCTGAATCATCCGTTGTGTTATTTCGTATTCACGTTGTATAAATAAATCATTTTTTTCCCGAATAAATCACTTTTTCCAATTAAAACATATCCATTATTTATGTGTGTCTTTATGTAAATGTTTTCGTCTGTTATGCTTGATAACACATGAAGATAACTCTAAGGACGAAGAAGATCTCCCGACACTGTAAAATATTTAAAATTTGGCCCACCTTCCAAAAGTAATCAAGTAGTCGTGTTCAGGTTCAGAAATATCCAGGGCTAGACATAGTCAAGTGATGTCCAGTCGATGGGAAGTCAGTTTTTTTTTTTTTTCGTTTCTTTTTTTTAAAACACCATTTGATGATCAGACGCAGTCAATTACACAGTTAATTTGATAATTAAAGGGGGGGGGACGTCTTTCTGCGATTTAAAATAAAATCACCAATTTCTTCATTCTACTCCTGAACCCACAATGCATCTAACCAAGTTACATAATTGAGCTAGTGTCTAGTCTGCACATAACTCTGGCTCTTGTCACACTCAATTATGTCTATTATATATAGATATTATTATTAAGGTGGTTTTGTATAGCGCAGTACGACAGCCTAGGGCTGGGCTCACTGCTGTACGACAGCCTAGGGCTGGGCTCACTGCTGTACGACAGCCTAGGGCTGGGCTCACTGCTGTACGACAGCCTAGGGCTGGGCTCACTGCGCTTCACATAAAAATAATCAATTACAGAAAAATATACATTTAAAAACGACAATTGGTAAAAAAGATTGATCTCACCCACCCAAGTACTATCTACCCCCCAGTCTAGCCATGGACAGCATCCAGCAGCACCGAGCGTTGTTGATAAGTTAATATGTATATATACATACAGTGGCGTGGCTAAGGGTGGTGTCACCCGGTCTGGTAAGCTCATGGTTTACCCCCTCCCCCGACTTCTATGATGGGCTTCTTCTTGTTCAAATGAGTCAACAGTATAACAATTGGACAACAACAAAAATTAATTAATTGAAGGTCAGGATGTAACTTTTTTTAAAGAACCGTAACAACGTTAACTTATAGTACTTATAGTTATTTTTACATGAAATTTACTTTATTTAAAATTTTCCCTTTCATGGTCTTTGAAGCTGAAAATCTGTCAATCACTTGATCAAAAGCAATACCTTCACCGTATCACTTTCAATTCATAGTTGAGCCAGATCTGAAAGCCGTGACTGTCCCGTAGATCGTGATAAGCCTTAGTTTTGACAAGCTCCGCTCACATGAAGCCACAGACACATTCACACAGAACGTAAGAAACAATTGTAGGCTTAGCGAGGGTATTGGAAGAGATTCTAAAAAAAGTACCATTCAGCTATTAATTTTAAAAATATAAAATACTGACCAGTCCATGACTTTTGTGAAATTCAATAACAGTTGCCTTTATGTGTCTATGCCGTGGTATTTCCTTTAAAAGTTCATCTTCTGATAACTCGTCATAGAAAGCGGTTAATTTTGAAACGGACACCAGTAGCTCTTTTTCACTTGCTCTTCTTTGGGTTTGAACAGCACCCACAAAATTAAATTTACTTCTTAAGCAACGAAATATGTTTTTATTGTTATTATTTTCTTAACATTGGTCGGAGATCAATTTCAAACTGCCCCCCCCCCCCAGAACGTCATTTGCGCACTCCCACCCCTAAATTTGCAGGTTTTTATTAAATTTGCTTTGTACTGTGGCGCCTCCTTTAAGAAAAGANTTTGAAAAAAAACCACCACCACCCGAATGACCTTTCCAACCCCCCCACCCCCCCCCCCCCCCTTTTTTTTTCTCCAGTGCTTCTAGGGACCATCCGTATATCCGCTATGCCAAGTATCAGTCTCACTGTATTTTAAAACCATCGTCAAAAAGATTGTTAATTAATATACAAAGTTGGAAATCCATTAGAAAAGAGAAGAAACACTGGATATATATCATTATAGTCTAAGCTTTAAGTTAACGTTTAAAAAAACACAAAAACTCATCTTGTTCCCAGTACAAAAATGTATTCGAGTATTTGTAGTGGGTGGTGGTGGAGGAAGGCTGAGGTTAAACCATCAGTTAAAACATGTACTTTATTGTATGACCCCACTGTAATCTCACCCCTTTGAATCATAATTCATCTGTTTTTAACTTATTTTAACCATCTGTGGCTTTTGGTCTGAGACTGGTGAGAAGTTAAAAAATCTGGCCACAAAGCAGCTGAATTGACCATAAACAAACTGAGCAATTAACAGACCTATAAAATACTTGTTTTAAATTAAAAAGTTCACTTTAAAACCACCGAAAATACATAACAAGCTAATAAATGCATGTAATAATAGCGGTATACCAATAGTAGCCACTGAAGTGTTTTAATGCTGTTCCTCGAGGTAAAAATTATTTTTTTAGGTGGGCCATGGGTCAACATTTTTTTGTTCTATAATAATAATACTAATAACTAATAATTATAATGTAGTTTCTTAATTTTTAAAAATAATTTTTTACTACATACTATCTATACACTAATATTTTAGAAAGATTAAAAAAACACATTAGTTTAATTAAAAAACAATTTGTAAAAACTTCTATTGCAAATAAAGTATAATTTTGTACCAATTTTTACTGTTGCTCAAAAAAAGATATTGAAGATGATGAGAGGTTTAAGTTTAACAATATGGCAATGATTCATTGATCTCATTGAATGAAACTTTGCAACTGATAAATAATAACATGAACCATAACATGATTAAAACAACAGGCTCACTGCATCATAAGGATTGGAAACGCTGTAAATGACATGTATGCAGGGTCACTTACAAATTTGGCAAAATTTTGGGGGTAGCCTAAGTAAACAAATCATTTTAAAAAATCTATTGAATAGATATGAATAAGTTAATAAGTATGTATCTACAAGTAGAGAATATCAATGGAAAGAAGCATGAAAGTTTGAAGTCTGTAGATATAATACTTTTTTTTCTGATACATTTGACATTCCTCAAAAATCTTAAAAACGCAAAGTGGAGAAAAACAAAAAAGAAGTTTTAAAATGTTGTTTTACAAAATTACATGCTTTAATAACAATGTCGAATGCATAATCCATAAACATATACCAATCATGAATGGAAAAAACAATTTAAAAATTTAGATGGACAGATAGTAAATAAATTAGCTCATTCTTTAAACATCAGCCCCCCTGCCGCTAATAAAAATTGTATAATACAAAATTGTGAAATTTTTTCTATGACACATATGTTAAAAAGACATCTATTATTATGTAAACAATATTAATAGAAATTAGTGTGCAATATATGAAGTATGTGGCTACAACACTGCTCCTCCTGAAACATCTTACGCCAGATAAAAACTGAAAATGAAGAGTTGAGAAAAATTGAAAATTCCTTACTGATAAAAACAATTGAAAATGTTAATATAAAACGACATCAGCAGACACCTGTAACAAACCTAATAATGAAATAAGTACATACATATTAATAAAGTAAAAACAAAAAAAAATACATAGGTATAAAAAATATAAAATAAATCAATTCAAAATTTTAAACCTATCCTAATCCTAATTACTTGCACTCAAAAATCATTTGAACCCCCCCCCCTCCCCCCCGCTAAATACTGTGCACCCCTTCAACCAATAAAAGCCTATCTGATTCCCTCCTCTCCGCCCCTCTAACTAATTACCTCCCTCCTCCTCTTTACATTTAACTTTAAAGATGATGACTCATCTTTCCTAACCCTAACATTATCCCTCTTTTCCCCCAACTGATGCGTCATATGACCTATTCCCAAACCAACCGACGATTAGAAGTCTTTGGACACCTTTGGGGTGGGGGGGGGGCATTCTCCAACACCCACGGCTACAGAAATTTCGATTTGGGTTTAGATATGTAGAAATATGTGAAAGATGTTTAGGGACAACAAAACCTTTAGCCACTGCCTTCTTGAAAAAACACGGGGACGTCTCACCATTCAGGCAGTCATCATGGCGTAGTTCTTTATCAGTTGAAGTGCAATGCTAGAATCCTGCCCAAATTGCCCGCTTCATGTCTTCCACACTTTTGTTTGACCTAAAAGCCTTTGTGAAATATTTCTGTAGCCATTTGATCTTGTCCTGGGTAAGGCACCAAACACCCTTACCACCAAGTGTTACCTTTTGCTTTTTCTTAGTATCCACCAGGGTCCTCAACGCAGCTCCAAGTCGTTTCGAAACATGGTTTACGCACTCGTGCTTTTCCACTACCAAGCCGGGATAGGAATTGGAACTGTGAATCGACCTGATAGTGTTTGTGTCACCATCTGACACTACAGTACAATAATTCAAACCATGTTTTGGAACTGACCTGTCCCACATTGCAACGGCAGCCTGTTGCTCCAGGCTGCCGCTAGACCCTGTGTAGTTAATATCAAATGATGGTTTGTGAACTTCAATCCAGCCAGTATATTTTGCCTCACTATCTTCCTGCATGTTCTTACCCATGGTTGAACACTTCTGACAAAACTTTGAGAGGTACTCGAAGTCAACAACAAGACCAGTTCTATTTTCAATAACAC